TGCTCTTTACTATCAAAAGCAGATAAATTTTCGTGGACCCCCATTTTTTGTTCACGCCTAAGTAAGGGATAAGGGTCACTGAGGCTCCGAACATAGAAAAGATGGCAAGCAGCTATCTGCCCATTCGCTGTTTTCGATCGCTTTCTATCGCTGTTTTTTGTAATGTTACAAACTGGAATTTAATGGGAGTTTAAGTACTGAATGTGCCATGCGGCCTCCATCGAGCACCGTCGCCGCAATCCCAAAGGAAGCTACGGCAACAGCTATTCCTTTGTCTTTTCGGATTTGGGCTAAAAGTAAATTTATTGAATAGTTTTCCTAGTGCCTCCTGGCGCATCTAAGAAAAACAATCCACCCTCACCATTATCGATTCTTTGCACAACAATATCATAAACTAATTTTTGTTCCGTGTTCAATCGAGGAACAGACTCTGATATTTGTTGCTGTAAAGAAGAGACATTGTAGTCCAGTTCTCTTATTAAATCACTATTGACTTCTCCGATTCCTTGTGGCCGGTTCATTCCAAAATCTGATAATGTCTTCCCAGATATAGCCATCACTTGGTCTTGAATTTTATTTAGCGCCTCGTTATAAACTAAATCATAATATGTGACATTGGGATTATTTTGTTGTAGTCTGTTCAAAATATAGTCAGACATATCATTTTGGGACTTTTCCCATAATATCTGAGGATTTGAGAGACCACACGTCGCTATGAGAATGGCAAAAGATCTGCTGATCTACAATGTCGAGCCTCTTCTAGTGTCGAGTCCCAATGATTATTTATCATTCTCTAACTTTCATTATTATCGTTAATAAATTAATCAACTGTTAGTAAATCCACTGTTAATAAATTAATCCACTGTTAGTAAATCCACTGTTAATAAATTAATCAACTGTTAATAAATTAATCAACTGTTAATAAATTAATCAACTGTTAATAAATTAATCAACTGTTAATAAATTAATCAAATGTTAATAAATTAATCCTCTGTTAATAAATTAATCCACTGTAAGTAAATCCACTGTTAATAAATTAATCAACTGTTAATAAATTAATCAACTGTTAATAAATTAATCAACTGTTAGTAAATTAATCAACTGTTAGTAAATCCACTGTTAATAAATTAATCCACTGTTAATAAATTAATCAACTGTTAGTAAATCCACTGTTAATAAATTAATCCACTGTTAGTAAATCCACTGTTAATAAATTAATCAACTGTTAATAAATTAATCAACTGTTAATAAATTAATCAACTGTTAGTAAATTAATCAACTGTTAGTAAATCCACTGTTAATAAATTAATCCACTGTTAATAAATTAATCAACTGTTAGTAAATCCACTGTTAATAAATTAATCCACTGTTAATAAATTAATCAACTGTTAATAAATTAATCAACTGTTAATAAATTAATCAACTGTTAGTAAATCCACTGTTAATAAATTAATCAACTGTTAATAAATTAATCCACTGTTAATAAATTAATCAACTGTTAATAAATTAATCAACTGTTAATAAATTAATCAACTGTTTACTAATAAACTAATTAAAACCAATATGAAATAAAAAATTATATGAACAGTTTACCGACCAATCAGAGAGCCCCGTTTCATTAGTTAGTTGTCAAATCTAATGTCGAAAAAAAACGTTTGTAATAAAACAACTACTAATAAATTAAAAATTAATGAAAAAGACATTGTCCAGCAGACAAAATTGTGAATCTAGAGTTTACATGATGAAGATTGTGTTTAAATGTTTTTTATAAATTTTAAGATAAAATCAGCCCTCGTAGTATATCGGTTTAAATTAAGAGTTAAATAAAAATTTACTTTTAAAATATGAGTAATAGAAAAGGTTTTTTAGGAACCCATATAAGAAAACATAATTGGAACGACTTCTAGAATGATGATAACTAAGGATACGTAGATATATATATATGTATATACTAGAAGACCTGGCGAACTTCGTATCGCCCTATAATCAAGAAATATCTGTTACGTTTTTTTTAATAAATAAATTTAGGTTATACCTTAGCCTCAGAAACACGCGGTGGTTATGCTATTATTAAATAGTCGCTCATATATGAAGTCTGTATTTTTAACATAGCGCCATCCATTGAATACTTAACTCAGGCAACAGATAATTGTAATAATGACAAATAATTTTCTTTAATAGACAAATAATTTGCAATAAAATAATATTGTGACTATAAATTGAGATGTAAGCTATCCTATCTTTCAAGTTTCAAGCACACGGAATGCAAATCAAATTTAAAATCGGTTTAGTAGTTTAGGAGTCCATCGCGGATAAACACGTGACGCGAAATTTTTATATAAAAATATATATATATAAATATACTATCTGCGCCCCGCGGATTTCCGGGATGTAAATTAGCCTATGTGTTATTCCTGGACGTCACCTTCATGTATACAAAATTTTACCAAAATCAGTTCAGCCGTTTGAGCGTGAAGAAGTAACAAACATACACTGACAAACTTTCGCAATTATAATATTAGTAGGATATATATGTATTTGTATTGAGTGCTGTGTTAAGAATAAATAGATTCTGATGTCTGTGAGTAGTCAAACTTTTAATGTAACGTACGACAAGAGATGAATGCACTGTCTGGGTATTTCGACGTCTGTATTTTAACATGTAAAAGGACTGAGTGAATTTATTTAGTATTATTCATTCTATATTTTCAACGAAATATTTGTAAATGAGGAAGGTTAAGATATTTTGTCATCTTTAATTCTTGTCTTTAATAATGTCTTATGTAATATAATTTTTAAATTCTTTGTTATCCACTCGTTAATTTTTCAGTGCAAGTAACAAACAAACAAAAACTTTGTTTTCAATTCCCATAACCAATAGTTCACATGAAATAAAATAGTATAATCAAATTAAATAACTTTATTCCCTTATCTTTACTATAACATGCATCCACATACTGTATGTCAAATAAGCATCTACAAAACAACCGCTACACATTACATATTCATTTAACAAAAAAAATTCATACAAATATTATATAAAACAAATCTAAAACATAATTCAATACACCATAGATAAATGTTTACAAAAAGCTGTGTACAAATGACACACAACTAAATGAGTACAAAGTTAGCCGATAGAAATGTTTATTTTTTTACATGTGCCCTAACATTACTAAGTTACAATTCATTAAAATAACTCACTAGCTTACTTCATTACTAAACTACAGATTAATAGTTTAGTCACAAAAACATAATTATTTAAAAAGTGGCAAGAAATTAATCACAAAAATGAGTATTGGAATGGATTGTTTCATCCATAATAAAATTTCTAAAAAATAAATAATTCACAATTCGCAAACATACAAATTTTAACACAACACGTAATTTAATTCTTCCAAATTTTATAAAGCCCTTTCACACTACAACACTAAACAGTTAAAAGAAAACGAAACGGACTGTGTGAAAAGGCACTAACAGACGATTATTGTTTCAAAGATTGCACATCATATAACATGATAAAAACTAAGTTATTATTAATACTAAGAAGCTAATTACAACGCATTAAACATTACTCGTGTGCAGAGTGTCTTAGAGAATTATATTATATTAATAAATATACATACTTAATACATAATGTGTGTTTTTGTGTGCGTCTTATGTGAAATATAAAAGTTATGATTCCAATTATATGCATGGAAATTGCATATTGGTTATATGATTGCTGTTGCATATGCAATTCACTAAAAGATTAAATTGCCTGCATATTTCCCATTTCATGAAATTTTTGATACATTATCATTAATTCTACAACAGTTTTTTTATTCCCAAATGTTATGGACATTATTTTTAATCAGATACATTAATTCTAATTTCTTTTTATTCATAGTACTTATTAAGTTTGTTTTATGTAAAAATATATGTCTAGATCATCATCTAGCATCTATTTTATATCTAAAGTTTCTGTCACTCTATTTTTATGTCATAAACCATGGTTCACTATAGAAAAGTATCCATTAAAATTTTAACTGAACAGTTATTTATTAGTTAACCACATTTTGGTTATTAACTCTTCATTTCTTATTATAATGTGTATAGTTATTCTTACAATGAGATGTATCTAAATTAATTCTCATAAAACATGGCAGTTGGTAGCCTCTCAATTAGATTTAAAGTACTGCTTCATAAATAATAATACGAAAAATAGATAATGTATGATCTACAAATCTAAAATAAAAGCTATTATAATATACTTTTCTTTCTGTGCTTTGATATTTCGTCTCATGACCAAGATTTTAAATATAAAATGAAAATTCATGGATTTTTGTTATCATTCAAGTATGGACTGTTATAAGTTAGGAAAGAGAATTTAGAATACATAACAGAAAACCAAGAAATTGAAATATGTTGATATGAAGGGTAAATTCGTTATAATTGCCCAAACATTTGAGATAATAAGCAATTTTTAGAGAAAAATTTCATTTCACTGGTAAAACAAATTGCAATACATATAAATGTCATTCGAATGACCGTTAATAGAATGACTTATAGACAGAGAGATTAAATAAGAATAAAGGGACTTGAAATTATTTTATATAATAAAATTGTAACTGAGATTGCACAATTAAATGTTTAGCCTATATACGATTTAAAGCAAACATGTACTCATACGTATTTTATACATTGCTATTAAATTTGTTCAGGCGTCCAAAGTGTCAATAACTCACTGGGTGTCCAATTAAAGAGAGCTTTTTACACAAATGCCTGTAATAGATCACAGGGGTCTATCCATTAGTTAAAATGGTTATAATTCATCTGAGCATAATCATAACATTATTCGCCAACAGTCTATATTAAACTTGTGCAATCTACCTCGCTCAAGCCTGACCCGTAGCGAACAATTTGCAATCAATCTATTTATATCATTCGTGCATAATATCAGGTCAGGCTATGTTCAAAGCTTCAAAGTTGTCTCGTTTTGTGTTACAGTTTAGACTAGTCTATGTGATGAGTCTAGGCGCGTGTAGACCGCTGAGTCTCCGTGCGAGGGGCGGTCTGTGTCGTGGCGCATCGTCGGGTCGTGGCGCCCAGTCGTGTAGTCGCGCGGCAGCGGCTAGCCGATGAGTGAGACGATGTGCGATAGAGAAGCCCCCACTACCCTCCAGTTGAGTCAATACTATGATCACTTGCCTGGAATATTATATGATATGATGTCGAGTATTCATTGTAATAAAAGTAATATTTTCCGGATTACTATCAATTGATAATTATTTCTATAAAGTTATGATTCGTATGAATCGGGGATCACGGTTGCTGCAAAGTAACAGAATCGTCGATGGTATGTTGTTGGAAATAATTATTAATATATACACATATTAATTTTATTTCATATAACTAAGAGTATCGGCTGATTATATGTATTATAATAATCGTAAATAGATGTATATGAATATATACGGAGCTTATATCATTATTATTTTATTGTTATTTGTCTGTTTGCGTATTTCTAAAACTGCTGGACCGATTTTGATGACTCACGGGTGCATATAATTATGATGTAACATTGACTTAAGCTATTTTTATTTAAAAAAAGTTATATTCATTTTTATACACATATAAATTTAAATACTAAATGTTACTCCGCAAACATGTAATGCGACATGCTAAAGATGGATGAAAAAATGTTTACATAAAATATATAGACAGAGTAATGAGAAAAACATGATCTTATATACATGTATGTATAAGAACATGTTTTCTTCATTACCAGAACGCGTTATTATCGGATAGCATGTAAGCTACAACACGAATTTCTCTATTTGGTCTTTCTGTGAGCCACAACGTGTCGTGGGGTTTTCATTAGAGCCATAACACGAATTTCACGATATAAATGTTTTAGTCTAACCAGAACGCATTGTCAGCTATTTTTTCTCTGACTGAAACTTTTTGATGTTGAGCGTAACATATATATTTGTTATATCATCAGGGATAGTGCAAATCCGCGTAGCTACCGTTAGATAATTCCGCGTATCTACATTGGATGCAGATTATCAGAAGAAAGTTTGAGCTGAAATATTTTCTATACTAACGACATTTAAGGTAATTTTTTTCACAAAAAGTATAAACGAAATAATTATATATATACTAGCTGCGCTCCGCAGTGTTACCCGCCGATTTTCGGGATGTAAAGTAGCCTATGTGTTATTCCTGGACGTCAGCTTCCTGTATACAAAATTTTTCCAAAATCGGTTCAGCCATTTGAGCGTGAGGAAGTAACAAACATACACACACACAAACTTTCGCAATTATAATATTAGTAGGATATGCATGTACCTGTGTAGCGGAGGTACAGAGTCTATAGTCTTGAGTTCCCCGCGCGTCGACACCACGTTGTAACTCTCCTGACAGTCACACTTCACGTGGATCCACTTGTCCGTGTGACGGTTCTCAACCATCACTACCAGCCCCGCCCAGCCCTGAAAATATAAACGATACATATTATAACATTTACTTTATACAAATGATGATTGAATATAGAATAATACTAGTTATATATTGGCAATGAAAACAACTTTTTGGGTGCCAGTTATAAAAATGATCAAATAACACTTAGTAATCCGAACATATTAGTTTCTTGTAAATGAATACTCGCGAAAGTCTTAAATCATTAAACATTTTAACGATGATTACCACACGGGATTATATATCAAAAAAATCGTGATTATATGACCTTGAACCATATCAGCAAAGGCCTAAAGAAATATTCAATCGCGAGTATATAACTTGTATATAATACTTATTTGAGGTACTTTAATTAAATACCAAAAATTCACGATTATACGATTTTTAATCATATATGAAAAGGCCTACTTAGTTAATGAAATATTCAATCACGAGTATATAATCTAACTTTAGTGAGGTAGTAGGAGATTCAGTCAATGAAATACTCAACTATGATCATGCAACTTATCAGTGAAGTCCTAGTGGTTAAAAGGCCCGCCTCTCATGCATGTGGGCGCGGGTTCGATCCTGGTAAGTACTGGCAATTTTTCCGAGTCATATATACTTTCTGAGAGTATTTAGATATCACTGGTTAATGCATTCCCAAAGAGGGTTGATGTCAGGCAGGCGGCCGGTGATAAAAACAATTAGCCAAAACTATTCACAACATGTAAGGCAGACCCTGGTTAAAGCTGGTGTAGGACCCCTGGTCCTACATGCAAGTATAACTAGTCACTGGCTCACTACTACCCCGCCTACTACCTAACTAACCTAAACAATCAACGTACACCTTGCCTTTGTCGGATGATTTAACGGCAAGACGTTGTAAATTAATCAACTTACTAAAATACATGCGTTAAATAGTACATTTCAACTGCCGTTCATTATTTTCCGAGAGTTGATCAACTACCTAGAAAATTGATCAACTTACGAGTCTTGTTATTTTCCGGTGACATATCTATTGTATACATACATACACTACAGCTGGGAAAATGTCAGGAAGAAGAAGAATATCATACAATATATAACATACCTTAGTGAGATAATAAGCTGTCATTCCCTGTCTTCCTTCATGTCTCTGTCCTCTAGCTAGTGTCAGTCCTATGATCGCGTCAGCCAGTAGGTGCGGGTGTAGCGTCGGTCGAGACACTCCCAGCGGCTTTGATGAGTGAGCAGCTAACACGTGACGCGGCCACAACGCTCGTTCTGATTCTAAACCAGTGTGCCAGTGATTGAAGGCGAGACACACTACTAGATAGAAACCTTTTTCTAACATCTTGTGACAACCGACGAAACCGCGAACCTGTGTAGGTAAGATATAGATGAGTAAAATCGTTATATTAGGTTGGTGCGTATGAAATGTCGGATTCTTAAGTGATTGTCTAAAACTGCATATCTTTCTTCAAAAGCTGTTTATTCAATCAAAGTATGCTCCATTCGCTTCAATACACTTCTCCCAACGAGATTTTAAAGCGTAGATGCCTGTCTTAAAAAAATTTGGTCTTTAGAATTAAAAAACTCTGATATCGAGTTTTTTAGACTGTCTTCATTTTCATAGTGTTTGCCCCTTAAAAACAGCTCTAAATCTTGAAAAAATGAAAATCGGTGTATCGAGTTGTTAAGCTCTGCGACACTATTGCGATGACTAAATAAATTTGGAATTTTTAAAACGTTTTCCCTTTTTTTAAAAAACCGTCCGTTGCGTTGGGAGGTTCAAAAATATCACAGATTTAAAATACTCAGGATTTACACCGGTCTGAAAAGTGATTTGTTTGAATCACGAATGTTAGAGGAAAAAATATTTTGTTTTACAAATATGTACATATACGGATATTTTATATTTATTAATAAAAGCTGCGTTTTTGTTTGAACGTATCATGATTTTTTTTCATGTTCCCTTAGCGTTTTAAAATCGACATGATACTAAAGTGTTATCGATGTACCGAGGACCAATTAGGAGCCAGACCTGAATAGCTCTCGAGAATCATCTTGGAAGCTTTTTCCTTTCATTCTTTTAGTCATTTTTGATTTTAATAAAAACGACAATTCTTAAAATAAATTTTTGTCAGGCTCTTCTTTACCCTTATCCAAGAGAGATCCGGTGAATATGGTGGATGCTGCAAAACTTCATATTCCAGTTCGTTCAGTTTCGCAATTGTTTTGTGCGATGTATGCGGCCGAGCGTTGTACCCACTTGTCCATCTTCTTAACCTTGCCAATCTCAGAAAGGTGTCTTAATATCGTTGTATGGTCAACTTTTATCCTGATAGTAAGTTCCCTCGTGGATACGGCTGGATCCGCTTCCACTAGAGCCTTCAGGTCATCATTTATCACAGACGTTTTGGGTCTTCCGCGTGGCTCATTTTGCAGTGAAAAATCGCCAGTCGGAAATTTTTTTTAACCAACTCTGCACTTTCCGATCGTTAATCGTATTCTCCCCAAAGGCTTGGTTTATGTTGCGTGCAGCTTTTGCAGGAGTATTACCAAGTTTGTACTCATATAAGAAAATGACGCGAATGTCGGCAGAATTCATATCGGCAATAAACTCAAATAAATGACAAAAGGGAAGACCTTCGAGAAAACCTATTTTGCTGAAATGAGTCTCTGGCAATGGACAATACGACTGTGAGTGAGGTTATGCCAAAGACGAAAGTATAACGAAAACAGGGAGACAAACGTCCGCATGTAAAGAGAATCCGACATTTCATACGCACCAACCTAATAATTGAAGGCAATATATTTTTTATGTAATACTAGCTTCACCCACGTGGAGTTCGGTTATATCGCGTTTTCAAGAGAATTTTTCAAGTCTGCTATAAAACCTATCCTATGTTCTTTCTCAAGGTCAACTCTATCTCTGTACCAAATTTCATTAAAATTATGGCAAGATATAGATAAGTAAATCATTAGAATCGAGGGAAATATATTTTTTATGTAATACTAGCTTCACCCGCGTGGAGTTCGGTTATATAGCGTTTCCAAGAGAACCTTTCAAAAATTAGATAAAAACTATCCTATGTTCTTTCTCGAAGTCAACTTTATCTCTGTACCAAATTTCATTAAAATCAGTTCAGTGGTTTATAGTCCAGTCATTTAAGCTTAAATTAGGTAAGAATCTCGGAATTCGAGATACCCAGCTGTAAGTCTGTAAATAGTTGTATATATACACCCTAAAAGTTGTCTCAAAACCTACATATGGTAGGGTGTAAGCAACTATTAAATTTCAAGGTTCAAAGGTCACAAAAATCGTTTTTTTGCGCTTTTTTTGGAAATATCTCATTTCCTATGGGTTTTTTGCTATTTGTATTTATTATCAATATTGTAGAATACTAAATTCTCTACAAATTTTGTTTCAAAAAATTTTTTATACGGTGTACCGTTTTCGAGATAAAGGGCGGAGAGCGCGCGGTCACCGCATCACTTCAGGTCAACCGGTGCCTCCGGTCGAAAACGCGTCATATATAGTTGATGAACTATCAATAAATCAATGATTATAAATATTTGTAAATTTTTATTAACTATTATATAAATTTTTATTAATTATCATTTTTTTCCTAACTTATCCACTTTTTATTCAGTATTAATTTATTTAACAACACTTACTTGTCCATGTAATTGCAGAATTGTAAATGAAAATATAAGAATTATATTTGAATTTTAACTTAATTAATATTAATAACTTCTTACATGATGAAAAAAAAAACAAATACATTATGAATTAATCTTTTTATTAAAAAATATCATTGAATAAATTATTTTTTATTGAAAGTAAAAAATGGAATAAAGGGTAAGAAAACTACAATTTATAATTTTAAACATCTTCTTCCTCTTCATCGTCGTCTTCTGGCTGCTGGTAAATTTCAAACTGGTCTTCATAATCGTCTTCAACGACATTTGTCTCAAGTTTTTCCATGATTTCGGGATCAAAGGTTCCATCTTCGTTAATGTCGCTCTGATATGGTTGAGCATTGAGACAAGCTTGCCCATTACATTGGCCACAAGCTAAAGATCATTGCAAGCCCGCTTTCCTGCATCCGCATCGCGAACCACAACCACTTTTGCAGTTGCAGAAAATTGTATTTAGCAAATTTTCTGGAGCAGGTGGTAAAATTGTCATGATAGGCTCCAGAAAATCATTTCGCATTGCCCAACCCCACACCTGGGGTTCCAAATCATGTCCTAACCAAGTTTGAACTTGATAATATACACGGTTGAAATATTGATGAGCAGCTGCACTTGTTGGTGGAATATTTGAAAGCAGGTTTATTAAGTTTTGTAGACTTGACGAAATGCGTATAACGAAGATGATCGAGACTTTTCACAGATTTCGGAGCATTATAGACTGCCAATAAGGTTTGAATAGATATAGATTTAATGCAATATTTATAATCATTGATTTATTGATAGTTAATCAACTATATATGGCGCGTTTTCGACCGGAGGCACCGGTTGACCTGTAGTGATGCGGTGACCGCGCGCTCTCCGCCTTCTATCTCGAAAACGGTACACCGTATAAAAAATTTTTTGAAACAAAATTTGTAGAGAATTTAGTATTCTACAATTTTGATAATAAATACAAATAGCAAAAAACCCATAGGAAATGAGATATTTCCAAAAAAAGCGCAAAAAACCGATTGTTGTGACCTTTGACCATGAAATTTAGTAGTTGCTTACACCCTACCATATGTAGGTTTTGAGACAACTTTTAGGGTGTATATATGCAACTATTTACAGACTTACAGCTGGGTATCTCGAATTCCGAGGTGAACTTACTATAATGACTGGACTATTAGGCGTGAAGGCGTAACAGACAGAGTTACTTTCGCATTTATAATATTAGTAGGATTATAAATGAGGTTAGATAAAAAAAAATATCAACATAATGGAATAGTTGGTTATTGAAAAACGTTCATGAGGATAAATTCGAAGGTAAAGACAAATTTTTCATTTCTTTTTTTATTAATGTTAATTAGTATGTATATGATTTAACTCGTTTCTTTATAATATAATGAATACCTATACATGCTCTGCCTCGCTGAAACAACGAACGTAAGCTTATAGATCATGAAACTAATTGACTCCGTATAATCATTTGTCGTGGCTGCGAATTAAATACCTGGGAATATACTATACCATTCGTCACTCGATAACTAAATATTACATTGTATACTTTCCATTGAATCATAATTGAAGTATGCCTTCGATATCGTATATGTATATGTGTGGGTGTGTGTGTATGTGTGTGTGTGTGTACCTGTCTCTTGCTGTGAGCAACCAGCTTGCCGACCTGTGCGCTCGGCCCCGACTTTGTCCGGAACACAACCACACACAGGTCCAACTGAGAACGCTGACTCTTAGCGGAGTTCCTACAACACATACATATTACATACATTAGAGGCTTCAACAACGATAAAGTATAAATAAAATGTACGACATAATACATAATAATAACATGAACATAATATTGTTCTGGAAATAAAGTGATTTATTTATTTATATAATTAATAAGTATAAAGTTCCAGTCAGAATTTATTGGAATGAATATTAGATGTATTAGAGTTTATTGCAGGGAGTCATCAATATGTGCATTACTTCTTAAAAACAGATATACAGGGTGACTGGTGAATTACTATCAATATTTAAGGAGAATACTCGGTACATGATTCTCATGTGAATTATGTAAAAAGAATAGATACTTAATTTTTTACCAAATTTCCGTATAAATAAATAAAGTGTGGACACGTTCCAAGTGTTCGAAGTGTGGACGCGTGCGGCGGCGTGCTGATACAACACCACGCCGCCGCACGCGCCTATGTGTATGTGTATACCTAATTTGTAGGGTGTTCACACGATGCGTAATTAATTACATAACTTTTGGTTAACTTTACTTAGAAGTTTATTAATATTTATGTTATATTAATTTTTATTTTGTCATATATGATCGTCAAATATCACGTCCTCAAGTATCGATAGTAATTCACCAGTCACCCTGTATACAACGTGTAACATAATTAACGCACACCCTGAAAGTAGTTTGTTAAGAATCGGTATCTGGATCGATTTTTATAGTTTTTTATGTAGGTCATTTTTTTTCTCAAATTTAGATAGAACTAAGTAAATTACAGTCATCCTACGCATGCAACACCAACAGCGACAGTCGGCACACATCAAATACCTACGCACGTGTCCATTGACCTCCTAGATCAGCTGATTTGACGCCACTCGACTTTTTTTTGTGGGGACGAATTAAATCGCTAGTTTATAACACAGAGATAACAAGTGCCGAGGAACTAAAAAATAAGATAATAACCGCCTTTGTAAAAGTGAAAAGTAACACTGCAGTATTATCTAAAATAAAACCACAATTGCGGAAACGGTCATTAAAGCGCATTGAACAAGGCGGTGGACATTTTGAAAATGTTTTAAAACGACAACGCCGCGCGAGTGCAAATTAAACTGTAAGTTTGTTTATGATCTTTAAATTATTGTTAATATTTTGATTCATACCATTTAAACACGCCGACTTTGTCGTAGGTATTGTGGTGTCTAATCAAATCACGCGTTATCAGCTGTTTAATAATTCTTATTTACAAATTTAATTTAACAAATCAGTAATTATAAAATATTGGCTTCACATTTTAAAAAAAAATCAATGTCGACAATCTTAAGTCTGAAAAGTGTGATGGAAAGAAGAATCATAAATCATAATGTAGTTATTTCGTGTTCTTATTATTACCTACTGCTTATTATTGCCGGACGGCACTCGGAGAGAGGGGCGCGGGCGCGGCGAGTACATTGTGTCTGTCTGTGTGTGCGTGTGCAGCGGAGTGTTGGTGAATAGCTGACCATATTATTTGCACGAAATTGGGATAACTAATTTCACAAATAAAAAATGCAAACGCACATATAAATAATATTTGGTGTAGGTATTGCGTTTATATTATTATATTCTAATTGGGGTGTTTGAGGGTGTGCGTAAATTACGTTACACGTTGTATACATCTTTTTTCTTCAATATATCGTTTTATTAAATTTGTTAAAAAAACATGATATGCATTACAAATCTTTTATAGTTCTGTCCTTTAAATCTAACACTATATTCAAAAAACATAAAGGTATATTTTGGCGAGTACAGTATTGAGTATTGACCTTTGCCCTTCCTGGGAAGTAATTCAGAAGTAACAGTTGCATTTAAACGAATTCTCGCGAGTCTTATATAGTATTGACCTTTGAGCTATAGTCGCGTTAGTGTTACAGTATTTATGTGAATAGTATTGACCTTTGACCTTCCTGGAACAGTGTGAAGTCGACCTCGGTTGGCTGCGTGGCTGTGAGCAACAGACACGTGAGGTGTCGGGGCGAGGACAGCGGCGGGAGGATGCCCGCGAGGCGGACCTCGTGCCAACCGACGCGGACCTTACATATGTCGATACAGTCGAAGTATCTGGAGAATTAAATATAATTAATGTGCGGAGAGACAAAGTAGAATAGCATAGAGAAAATAGAATTAATGTAGGGAAAGACAGAGAATAGAATACAATAGAGAAAATAGAATGAATGTACGGAGAGAGGAGATCGGACGGTGGAGGGGAGATATATGAAATAACGACGATATAAACAGTCCTATGTATGATATGTTTTTTTGAAATGAAACTTCTTATTAAATTTCCAACAAAGTTGCGTTAAATGTTTAATGCTTGGTAAGGGAAAAGTAGAGTGAGAGCGCTAGAACGAGCGGACAATCAATTGTGACAGGTACGTAATATTGATAGTTTGTCTTAAAATTAAGAAACAGCAAAAAATATTTTAAAATCTATTTCTACCCCTTCCTGTTCTCATTTCAAAAATATGAAGCTTCACTTATCTTCAGTTAGTGTTTACAGAAAGTACTAGAAGTTCTTCTCGTACAATCATAAACCACGATAGACTATTAAAGCTCTTGTTCACCATCATTACCGCCTTTTGTGACTAAGTATTCAATATAAGTCAGCCACATACTTTCATAAAATAACTCTCAAGTAATGTAAAATTTCAACTGTATTTCTGATCAACTCCCTATCGAATAAACATTAAGATACCTTTATTGACCTTAAAGACTTCTACAAGTATGTATTTGATATAAGGGCAATATTGAGTAAACACTTTATTAAAAATGTATAAATAAAACATTCTATTGACCCGAGCAAGTACAAACCTGGAATATTCAAAATATGGCGTGCTAGATATTTCACCAATGATCTTTAATCATTTATTTTACATTTGATACATATAAAATTTAACAATCATTGAATTATACCTCTCTCACAAAGTTAGTGACGTTTCTTTATAAATCTCCCCAATGTCATGTATCAATATTATACTTAACTATATAGAGAACGATTTGCGAATGAACAAAATAGCAACTATAGACTAAGAACTTAGACATAGAATTATCATCATTCATCAGTGATATTTCAAATATAAAATACTCACTTGAGGACGTCATCAAAACTGATCCAGAAGACCCCTTGATCCCTATCAGCATTATTAGCGGGGAGAGCTCTTCGTAACTGGTCGGTCCATCGCGGACAGTTGGCGGCCCAAGCTCCCCTCCATGTATAGTGTCCCCAGGGGTTCCTGAGCCGTAGCAACCTGAGTGGAGGACTGTACCCCGCTACCTCCACCACGTCGAGTACAGAGTACGCGTGTCGAGGACGAAGACCTAGGCGTTGGTACTCTTCTTCATCCACCTGAATCGCGAACATGTTATAGTGAGATGAACTTTTTATCATTTAAAGGATTCATCGTGCGGGTTTCGGGTCCATCTTTGTATGGAAAGGAGCTTTAAAAGTGACTGGGACTTGCGACCCAGGTATAGGTTTAAGTCCTTATCTAACGCGCGTTATACGCTCACCTTCATTGTCCAAGCTCCTTTCTCCTAACCAAATTTGAAAAGTATCTACTAGGGCTGTCTTCAAAGTATGTTCTAAGAATTAATTGATGTGAGTTCTGAACAGGCCCAAGTCTTGTAGTAAGTCGTAGAGAGTTATCTGTCATTACTTGAATTAAATGTTGGAATATAGTTACAGATGATAACAGATTAGTTATAATACATGACGTCACTTCAATACAAAATACTTTAAGTTTATAAAAATAATTATCGGGAGAAATTAAATGTATCGTATCTTTAAGAATTCCCATAAACTTATCTCTGAACTCTATCAAAAAGATATCACAGATAAATCTGTTATTAAGACTTGTCACTTTATATAATTACAGAATGGAAAAAAGCACTATTTATAATTAATATTAATAAAGGAGATCATTCTTTTTGGGTCTTTTTTAAAAGTGCCGGCCAACAAAAAAAAATGGTACATATTTGTAGAACTAACCATTTGGAACAATAGTTAATATGGCGCAAAAGTTGTAGGATCCAAGATATAGAAGTTATTCAAGTTTCAAGATTCATCATTTTGGTACTTTATTTATTCTGAAAGTGCCAGGAAACATAAAATAATGATTGATATTGCTAGAGTTAAGCTTCTCAAGCAAATCATTATAGCCATAATCTGTTAGAAACCTGTCGTTTTTATGTAATACTAGCGAACCCGACACACGTTGTTCCGCCAAGTATCTGAAAGCATGCAACACATTTCTTTATGATTTTATTATTTGTCTAACCTAATATGTATATCGGGGTGCCATTTTTATATATTAAAAAAATGGGCCTAGAAGCACTTTTAACTGATTTTGTACCATTTCGGGTCGGATTTGATCATATGACTCCAGATTTTCTATAGTATCTCTAAAACCACGGTCTAATATAAAAATGTCACCAGGCCGGTAAAACCAGTGAAATACATTATTCAGTCCATCATTTAAAATCTGGGCATCGGAGGTTGTTGCAGCGATGGGCCATCTACCGCTATTATGGTTCCATTGCAACAAACATTTAAAAAAGGCTTTAAAAGATTTCGAAAGTTATGGTTGCTATAAGATTTTCTTTGAAAAAAGAAATTAGTGCTCTTCCGCGTAAATATATGTAAGTGCCATCAAGTATAGAGATGGCCTTTCTTTCTTCAATCGGACTATTAGGATTACCAAATTATCGCTCTGGCACTATGAGGTTCCTCTGCGCCACTTGCTCTCGCGTCATATGATCAAATCCAACCCGAAATGGTACAAAATCAGTTAAAAGTGCTTCTAGGCCCATTTTTTTAATATATAAAAATGGCACCCCGATATACATATTAGGTTAGACAAATAATAAAATCATCAAGAAATGTGTTGCATGCGTTCAGATACTTGGCGGAACAATGTGTGTCGGGTTCGCTAGTATTACATAAAAACGACAGGTTTCTAACAGATTATGGCTATAATGATTTGCTTGAGAAGCTTAACTCTAGCAATATCAATCATTATTTTATGTTTCCTGGCACTTTCAGAAAAAAATAAAGTACCAAAATGATGAATCTTGAAACTTGAATAACTTCTATATCTTGGATCCTACAACTTTTGCGCGATATTAACTATTGTTCCAAATGGTTAGTTCTACAAATATGTAACATTTTTTTTTTGTTGGCCGGCACTTTCAAAAAAGGCCAAAAATGTATGAAGCCTGAATGATCTCCTTTTATCTACAATAATATGATTAAGAATACCAAGAACCAAATCTATGCCTTATATATAAGCGAATAAGGTGCTATATTCCTTGCACCGACCTTCATATTCCCTCCTCCACAGCTGGCCCCCATGAGGAAGCAGGCCTGTCTCGACGACAACAGCTGGGCCCACACCAGGTCCCTGTCCAGTTGTTCGAGAGGCGCGCCCCCTCCCCCTCCCCCGCCGCCGGCCCCGCCCCCCGCCTGCAGGGACACCGACTCACACGGGGCTCCCGTCAATGTACACAGACCTACATGATAAATATTACATTTATACATTATAAAGAAGATATGATACACGTGCGTATTCATCACGGACAGATGATATAAGTGACGTCACGTTAAATAATGACCTAATATGATGACAATTAGATATTTGTAAGAGATCTACTATATAAAAATAAGTCCGGTTTTCTTCAGAACGAACGAACCAATTTCCACGGTTTTGCATTCGTTGGAAAGGTCTCGGGCTCCGTGAGGTTTATAACAAAATATTTTAACAGAAAAGCGAGAAAATCTTTTTTCACATACAGCGCCATCATACATAACATGTACTACAAATCAATATTTTAAGTAGACGGCGCCGGTGCATGATACATTGTTTGACAGCTACTCATTGTTCTCTGCTCAGTTAATTTCATGTGACAAACCGGTATTGTGTTTGTAGTTTGAACTCTTAAAACCATTTAGTATTTGCAGGATAAATTTAGAAAACATTGTTTTTCACAAGGGCAGTTATATTTTGCGTGTTCACGAGTTTGGAAACCATCCGCTTTATTTGTGTTAAAGTTAGACCAAAAACCAAAAAATGTGGTTTACAAAGGAGCACTTCAATGAAACGGATAATTTGCGGGCACATATAACGCTTCGATTCGGTATCTACTTTGGATTCACTTTCATTTACTTAGAGAAGTTCAACTAAATAACACTTCATTTTTGTAATCGAAATGAATTCATTACTGTTGTGAAATGAAATAAAAAAAATTCTTTTCAAATATAAAACAAAAAAAAAATTCTTCATCTTTTAATCACCAAACGAAATCTATATATATAAAAATGAATTGCTGTTCGTTAGTCACACTAAAACTCGAGAACAGCTGAACGAATTTATCTTATCTTAGTCTTAAAATGTTTGTGGAGGTTTAGGGAAGGTTTAAAAGCTGAAAAATATTGAATCATTTCCTGGAAAACCCTAAAAACAGCCCTTTTCTATTTGCCATACAAACGTTTCTTTTGACATTAGATTTGACAACTAACTAATATGTCAATCATTCTGTCTCACTTCAGAACACGGAGATTTGTGTTCAAACTTCAAGGTAAACTCAGGTACAAACAAGGTAAACAGGTAAAATATAAATAAAAAGATATTTATTTATCTATTAATGCAGTACGAAGTCAGTTAGTGTTATATAATTCTCGTGTCGAAACGGAATTCGCCGGGTTTACTAGTATATAATATTTACATATTTTTTTCTGTTAATGTATGTATCCCTACCCTCTATAGCACGTCCTGACACCAGCGCCTCGTAACAGCCGTGTAGTTTAGCGACAGCCTTTTCTATCAGCGGCACCCACAGCTGTTTCCTCTTAGCCTGAAATTATATATTAGAAACTTTTTAATATTCAGTATATTTTGTCTCATGAGTGGGTACTGAAGTGAATAAAAACCATATTCCTATTAGCACATATTTATAAAAAAATATATAAAAAACTTAAAACTACTTTTTCAGGGAAAATGTTATACACAGAGGCACAATAGACTCAGTATTACATATATTCACACTTGAAGGTAAAATACACTACTGTTAGAAAAGAAAATACATACGTTACGATTTTTAAAAAACGTGCGACTTAGAAATATTGAAGACTAACTTCACAATTTACACGTTTTAAGCACTAAATATTTTATACAAATACAAATTAGGGCGGAGCTTCCGCACGGCAATAGTTGAGAACAAAGTATCTGTTTCCAACTAATGACGCTCACGTTATATAGGTGGCTTGAGGGTTGCCAGTTTAATGATTGATCGTTGTAGTGAGAGGAGCTTCAACAGTGACTGGGATTTACGACCCAGGTGTAGGTTTAAGAAGCCACTATCTAATACGCGTTAAACGCTCAAACGTCTATATAATGCGTATATAACGCATATATAAATCATATACCATATATTTCAAATAATATAAGAATAATAAAATGTTGTTCCGCTAAATAATTCGTGCATGATGTGTTCTCCTGTAAATAATGGTGACACTTAGTTTTAAGATTTATTCACTGAAAATTGTATTTATTTAGTGTACACATTGTTGGCGAACCAAATAAATAAATAAATAACGTACGTCCAATAAAGTCACCATAACCTATCTATTCCATATCTATACCTGTGAGTACACCAGGTGTCCCTTTCTATTACAGGGCAGCATATCGTCCAGTGTCACTGTGAGCCAGCGGCCGTCCTTACACAGTCTCAGCTGGTAAGCACCACGAGCCGGCTCCGCTCGCACTAACACGCCGCGAACTAGGGACGAACGCTCAGCTAACACCGCTAGGGCTGATAGAAGCCAGCAGTTACCAAGCACACCTGTAAATAATACATTATTATATATACAATCCAGTTCGATAATGTCTAATTCTGCCAGTCTCCCTCTTAAATACTATTCTGACACACCATATAAATAAGACTCAATGCATACAAATACGTTAGATATTGTCCAATTCTGTCAATCTTCCCTTTATTTACATTTCTGTTGAATATCTATCGAGTGATTCAATTCAGATATATGGAGTTCCATTCTGAAGTTAGGGAATACAATTAAAAAGACCAATCAGAGAAACATTATTTTAGAGACCTAAAATTTGCACTTGTATTCATTGAAGTAAAACTAATATTGTTTGTATATACTACGCGTTTATTTATTTTAACAACAAACAAGTCGTCCGTGACCACTATTGCTGAAAAATAACCGAAAGTTCGGTAGTATGTTGTTAGAAATAGAAGTACAAACAATATTAGATTTATTTATAACTCGTCTGCAAGTGCTCACGGTTGTTGTTAAAAACCCGAAACGCTTGTATGTTGTTAGAAATAATTATAAAGACATATTAGGTAAGTACGAGAAATATATGGTTAAAGATCTTTATTCTCATAAGAACATACACAGGTTCACTTACATGAGATTAAATTATGTTACACACATACATTAATATTTGATACATGGAATGACTAGTACTACTTAATATTGTCTAATCTATACTAATATTATAAAGCTGAAGAGTTTGTTTGTTTGTTTGTTTGAAAGCGCTAATCTCCGAAACTACTGGTTCGAATTGAATAATTCTTTTTGCGTTAGATAGTCCAGTTATCGAGGAAGGCTGTAGGCTATATAACATCACGCTACGACCAATAGGAGCAAAGATATAGTGGTAAATGTGTAAAAAACAGGAGAAATTATTTCATCTTTGAAGCCTTCCGTTGCGTGCGCCATGAAAACGGTTCAAGATACACAAAAAATATGTATTAAAAAATAATGATCTAAAAAATAGTCCGCGACAGTATATGTCTATCTTTTACGATTAACTCACAAAAACCGTTTTTATGGTACCTAATTTGGTCGAAATAATTCGTTTAAGTTGTTTCAACATAATGATATTAATCTTTATTCAAATAAACAAATAAATATGTTGTTGGTTAAGGGTACTTCATTGTGAATTTAAAAAAAACATAGGTTTTATCCTGAAAACTCTACGGGAACTCGACCATTCCGAAAACCCCGCAAGAACGGGAATTATGTGGGAAGAACCAAAAATCTGCCGGAAGTTACTATTCCACGCGGACGAAGCCGCGGCAAAAGCTAGTATATATATATATATATATATATATATATATATATACATATAAAGTTTATTTTTAAAAGCAATTAAACATTTACATTCTTTTATGTAGTTTGGCAAGTCATTATACATATATTTGTGTCCATAATTTAACGTTCTGACTGTAGGTAATTCAAGTTTATGTCTGTTTCTTAAGTTATGCTTGTTTGATTTTTGTATAAATGTTATGTTTAAATGAATACTTTTAGATAGTATCTTTTTAATTAAAATACATGTGTTATAAATATATGTTTGATTTAGGTTGAATAATTTTGATTTTTTGTTTAGTTCTATCGACGGTGTGAAAAAGTCATAGTGAAAAAGTACTTTTATAATTTTGTTCTGCCTTATTTGTAAGATTTTAAGGTTAGACTTTGAAGCTGACCCCCATATTTCAATTAAGTAATTAACGTGTGGCTTTATCAGGGAATTGTAGATAACACTTCGCACTTTTTTTGGTATCCAATTATTAGATCTTCGAAGTGCTCCTACAAGCGATGAGAGTTTTGATCTGAGATGCTCAAAATATTAGTTTTATTTCTACTTTATTTTCGTTCCAACCCCCAAAACCCTTCCCTCACCTTGCGATATATCCGATGGTCGCGGGTCCCTGAACACAACCCATGGCAGGCGCGGGTCCGCGTCCACGTGTATCTGGTGAGGTCTGAGCCACCTCGCCGCGGCGCCCGCAGGCTCCGCCCCCGCCCCGCCTGCCCCTCCCCCGCCGCTGTAGTACAGCGAGCGGGCGGCCGCTGGGAACGACTCATCCACGTACATCTCGCCAGTCTATAAAGAGTTATAGTAGTCAGATAATGTACGGTACAGTGTGTGTGTGTGTATATGTGTGTGTGCGTGTGTGTGTGTGTGCGTGCGCGTCACTGACCGCGGCACACTGCGCCATGACCTCCTGCCACTGCGTCCATGCGTGCGTCTCCTCCCTCAGCCTCAGTATCTCCATGGGCGTGCTGTCCTGCCGCTCGCCGTCCGAGCCCTCCGCTGGAACATACATACATACATTAGCACAGTGTCTCTGTGTGTCTCTCTGTGTGTGAATGTCTGTGTCTGGGTGTGTATGTGTGTGTGTGTATATCTGTGTCTGTGTGTGTGTGTGTGTGTCTGTGTGTATCTCTGTGTCTGTGTGTGTGTGTGTGTGTGTGTGTGTGTTTCTCACGCGAGTCGTCATCGTCGAGCGAGGCCTGGTCGGGCGCGGCTGGTAACAGCCTCGCTCTCGGTGACTGACACATGTCGCAGGCGAGCGCCGCGCCGGAGTTCACGTACGTACACTCGGAACACGGCCACTCGGACGGCTCAGACCTGACCAGTGACCATACATTTTAAAATAAATTATTACACAAATAAACTATCTAAATTTATATTTTTATATTAAACTAGCTGACTAAAACAGGGGTTGGTTGTAAAAAAAGTAAAAATGTTAGGTTGCATGTATTTTCTAATGCTACATTATAAAAAAAAAACAACAAAATCGTCCGAAAAAAAAAATTAAGGGTGAACAACCCTTGAGTTGAGTTGAGTTGAGGGTTATGAAAAATAGATGTAGGCCGATTCTCAGAGCTACTCAATATGCTAACAAAATTTCGTGAAAATCGGTAGAGAAGTTTCGGAGGAGTACGGCCAGAAAAATTGTGACACGAGAATTTTATATTAAGACTAGAAGACCCGGCGAACTTCGTATCGCCCTATAATCAAGAAATATCTGTTAAGTTTTTTTAATAAAGTCGCTCATATATGACTTTTGTATTTTTAACCTAGCGCCATCTATTGAATACTTAACTCAGTCAACAGATAATTGTAATAATGACAAATAATTTTCTTTAATAGACAAATAATTTGCAATAAAATAATATTGTGACTATAAATTGAGATGTGAGCTATCCTATATTTCAAGTTGGATCAAAATGCACACGGAATGCAAATCAAATTTAAAATCGGTTTAGTAGTTTCGGAGTCCATCGAGGACAAACAAGTGACACGAAATTTTTATATATTTCATGCATTTTTGAGATGAACATCAAATTTTGTATGATGAATATATCTAGTTGTAGTGTAACATGTTCCTTACTTCTGTTCAGGCGGAGGCGTCTTGTGTCTCGGCACTCTCCTCGGCGGAGTCAGCCGTGACGGGCTGCGACCTGTTGTAAACATTATTTGGATTAAATTAAAATAATAATAGTTTTTGTCGACGACTTTGTCCATATCATTCGTATTCAGTGACGAATATAAAATATATTACGAACATTAATATATTTCATATGTTAACTCGTCAGCGACATCTAACGTTTGTGTGACGACTTTGTAATACAAAAATAGTTGTGATATGTTCCTATGCATGCTGCAGAGAATAAAAGAATATATTATATCCTGTACACTCATTTCGATATGTGTAAGCTACATAATTTGAAAGTTTTATCAAAATCCGTTGAGCATATTCTAGGTGAAGGAGTAACAAACATCAGGTCATAGAATTAGAGAGAGAATACATAACAGATATTGTCAATTTATAGGTCTTTTTTAGACTTGCAGAAAAAATATATAAATTTTATACCAAAAATATATAATAGTATAAGTACAATTACTGTTATTATCGCTAGTAGCGGGCGGGCCATGTCGCGGGACGGGCGGAGTCTTACACGCGCGACACACGCGACAAGACACCGGGTTACGGAGAGTACACGAACTACACGACCTGCAGACATACACATGGACTTATAATACAACATATATATATATATATATATATATATATATATATATATATATATATATATATATATATATATATATATATATGTGTGTGTGTGTGTGTGTGTGTGTGTGTGTGTGTGTGTGTGTGTGTGTGTGTGTGTGTGTGTGTGTGTGTGTGTGTGTGTGTGTGTGTGTGTGTGTGTGCGTGTGTGTGTGTGTGTGAATGTAAGAACGTCAGGAAGATGCCTCATGGCTGTCTTGGCCTTTTTTATCCATTACGGGCGTTGTGACGATTGTAACTCATAAATAAAAGCGCACTTGTACTGTCCCATATCTTATTACTCGATTTCTTTAGTCGTGGCTTTGAACTTGGTACCTCGGAATATAACACACCAGTCGCCACTCGATAACTATTACATTGTATACTTTGATTGAATCATAATTGAAGTATTACTTCGATATCGTATATGTGTGTGTGTCTGTGTCTGTGTCTGTGTGTGTGTCTGTGTGTGTGTGTGTGTGTGTGTATGTGTGTGTGTGTGTATTCTATAATCAGACCAGTAGTTATCGGTGGGCCTGGAGGCGGCGCAGGCAGCACATGCCGTGTCTTCGGGTTCATTGTCCAGAGTACAGCGAACACAGGTCCACGAGCTCTCAGGGGGCGGAGTAGACTCTGAATAGTATAACATTTACATACTATTATCTTTATATATATAATTCTTCTGTGAGTGTGTATATCACTGAACTTCTCTCAAACGACTGGACCGATTTTGATGAATTTTGTTGTGTGTGTTCAAGGGGATCTGGGAATGGTTTAGGTTCACAATTTTGTCCGCTTGACAATTTATTAGTAGTTGTTGATACAGACGTGTTTTTTACATTAGATTTGACAACTAACTAATATGTCAATCATTCTGTCGCACTTCAAAACACGGAGATTTATGGCTTTAATAGGCAAACTCCTAAAATATAAATAAAAAAACGTAACAGATATTTCTTGATTATAGGGCGATACGAAGTTCGTCTGGTCTTCTAGTATATATATGTATATTATTGTTTGTACTTCCATATACGTATTAGAATCATTAAGACTCGTATACATAGGGTGACTGGTGAATTACTATCAATATTTAAAGAGAATACTCGGTACATGATTCGCATTCGAATTATTTAAAAAAATAGGTACTTTATTTTTGACCAAATTTCCGTATAAATAAATAAAGTGTGGACACGTTCCAAGTGTTCCAAATGTGGACCCGTGCGGCGGCGTGCTGATACAACACCACGCCGCCGCACGCATGTGTCTGTGTGTGTGTGTGTGTGTATACCTAATCTGTAGGGTGTTCACACGATGTGTAATTAATTACATAACTTTTGGTTAACTTTACTTAGAAGTTCATTAATATTTAATGTTATATTAATTTTTATTTTGTCATATATGATCGTCAAATATCACGTCCTCAAATATCGATAGTAATTCACCAGTCACCCTGTATAAGTGAATAGTTCTTATATAAGTATAGAACTCACCAACAGCGAACAGTAGTTCATCACTGTTGAGGTCGTGGTCGAGGGACGCTATCGGTACTGTTAACTTCTTCGGTGGTTCGTTACGGTTCGTTTCTTGTTTACCGCTGGCTTCCGATGAGGAGTTGTGTCTGAAAATGTATTTATAACAGAAACATTTTAATACTGGATGGTCATTTGTCAATTGTTCCGTGTGTGAATGGGCGTGTATGTGTGTGTGTGTGTGTGTGTGTGTGTGTGTGTGTGTGTGTGTGTGTGTGTATGTATGTGTGTGTGAGTATATAAGGCACCTGCTCCGCGCATCTCGCTCCAGTCCGGGCGCCAACGTGACGGCGTGCGGAGCTCGTGCACTGCGGCACACATCACACCTCGCGCCCCAAGCGTTGTACGCGAACCAACATTCCCCGCACTGCCACATACGAGTCGCCCCCGCGCCCACACCCTCACGACTGAACAAACATACATATGATACATATGAGGAATATGAATATGTATGAATATGGTGTATTCGCATGTTCTTCTGAACCACATCAAAGATGAATGTAACACCATATTTGTAGTTACTATTGAAAGCCACAACGGGAGTTTAGATTGTGTAAGTCATGACACGGGTGGGGGAATAGAATATAGTTGACGCTGATTCATTATCAGAGAAAGTGTAATAGTAATGAGCATAGCTTGGTTCCACAATCCCTACTAATATTATAAATCAGAAAGTAACTCTGTCTGTTACACTTTCACGCCCAAACCACTGAACTGATTTTAATGAAATTTGGTACAGATTTGAAATGAAAGTTGACCTTGAGAAAGAGCATAGCATAGTTTTTATCCTAGACTTTTGAAAGGTTCTCTTGGAAACGCGATATAGCCGAACTCCAAGCGGGCGAAGCTGCGGGCGGAAAGCTAGTTACTAATAAGTATAAATAAATATTAAAGTCACTACAAGTAGGTAAATATGTGGACGAAAAGAAGGTAATATATTCGACCAGCTACTACTGAGCAGGAACCATGTCTTGTATTAAATGTATGGTATCAGTATTAATGTAAGACATTTTTTTTTTCAAATTTTAAAGCATATTAAACAAGGTTAAGATTAATGACAAAGAACTTTCAATGTTAGCTAACAGAAATACAGACATGTTTGAAAATACTTACGAAGTTTGTTGAGCGGTAGGCACTTTAGGTGATTCGCGAGGATTATGAGACACTTTTCCTACTGACGGCAACATATTATACACTTTGCCCCCGTCTTTGCCCGCACCGATATGAGAAGTCCTTATATTACTATCACCAACTGGAGAAATACAATTTTCTGCTCCCAAAAGCTCATCGATTCTGGCGTAATCCCCATCACCCATGTCGTTGGAGTATAAAACTTCGTTTTGTGAATTGCTCATAACAGTTTTCGTGTCTTGAACAGAGACGTACGAATATCTGGTGCCATTGTTGTTAACTTGCAATTGTAGGTTGAGATCTTTGTATTTTCCTTTGTTGGGTAACGCGTATATAACTCCTTCCGCGTTAGTATCCCAACTGCATTCCTTGTCTATTAATTCAGCGTTGCTTTCATCGATTTTTTTATCTGAGACTTCGTCGCTTTTTGTCAGTGTGTTGCAATAGCTTGCGAGCGATTTCTGATAATCGTTTAGACTTCTCCTACTAGATATGACTTTACCGACGGGTCTAGTTTCGCTGGTCTGTTCAGAAAACGAGCGTCGATAAGTCGGTCTGGTTTCCGGAGAATTTTGAGCACTGATTGACCTCTGAAAGGAGTCTCCCAAGTTATTTCCGGTCTGCGGCCAATCTGGTACGGTTATCATAATGCCTCCAGACGTCGGCAAGGAAGTAGCTCCATCTTTTCCACTCAAAGTCTCATGTCTTCCCAGAGTCGTAACACTAAGACCTCTTGTATTAGAAATACGAGCTAAAGGCGAGATTCTTGGAGACAAGCAGGCTTCACAGTGAGTTCTGATCCCTGAATTTTCGAGAGTACATTTACTGCAGGCCCACTTCTTCAGATGCAATCCTCTAGTTTGTTCTCTTTGGTATTCCTTAACATAATTCAACTCCCAATTCGATTTGCTCTCGTTACACTTTTTAGGGCGTCGCGTGACTGTGTGAAGGCTTCTCAGGAACGATTCCCTCGGGTTGTATGAGGACGTTCCATATCTTTCAGACACCAATAAGCTTGTTGGTCTGTTTATAGTACTTCTCGTTTCATCAACATTCCACCATTTGTGTTGTGAATTGATCACGGACCCGTGAGACAATGACCTCGTCACCCCGTGGGCGTGGTCTGTGATCTGAGTAGGAGATAACCTAAGAGACTGAACGTCCAAATTCAAAGGACCACCAGAATAACTTGACGAAGGCTTATACGAAGGAACTGCTAGAGTGTTAGATCTTATCATACTGTGATCTGGAATAGAAGGTGTTTGTTTAAGACTTTGTTATGTTAAACTCACATAAATGCAATATTATAACTATGCACAAATAAAGGATTAAATATGTTCTCTCATGGACATGTTATACAAATTATGTTTACTACTTTATACTGTGACCTGGAATAAAAGGTGTTTGTATAAGACATTATAATGGTAACATTACATACATACAATATTTTTATTTTGGCACATTTGAGACGTAATATTTATATTTTGGGACAAATATTATAGTTAATAGGACAGGAATAAGCATGCACAAATAAAGGATTAAATATGTTCGTTCATGGATCTATTATACAAATTATGTTTACTACTTTATTTTAAGGGCGGCAACTTGGTGTTGTTAAAAAAACCTTCTTTATTATTACCTTGATCAGACTTATCCTTGTCAGTCATCCCTGAAGATTGATCCTCGTCATCAGATAATCTGGAAATATAAAATTGTATTTGGTTTAACATATAACGAGAAAAAATAGGGACATAGTCATACTTTACTCAAAATGTTTTATTTTATTCATATTGATTTACTTGCATCACTTAAATTAACAATTCTTACTGGGACTTGGATAATTGACAATTACAGATGTTTTACAAGAAAAAAAGCAGACATTCTGATACTAAAAATCGATCATAATTCTATATGAAAGTAAAATTTACCTGTAAACGGGAGCATGTGGGGCGATTTTGTCGCAGGCAGCACATCTCCAAGAAGCTGATACATTTCTAAGACCGCAGCCACAACGCCACGCTCTGCTGGCCAGCGGGGCTGACCCCACACATGACCAACCGCTGGAAATAAAACTCATACATGTGAGAACAATTATATAGCAGTTACTAATAATTATTTACAAAACTACATATTAGTATTTATAAGTAACTTCCTCAGCCTTATTTACTTTGATGTATATACCTATTCTGTATATCTAATTCGAATTTAAAGTAAGATCACTTGGTGAAATTTACAAAAATTACTTAGTTCCACATTAAATAGTAAATAATATGTATTTTGCAAACACAACTGATAACTTAATACAGCTGCGATGAATGTAGTTTCAATAAAACTTTCTTCTAAGTAGCAAACTGAATGACAGCAACTAATATAATAAAGTAATCTACCTATATTACACTTGACATCATATTATTATTTTAACAATACCAAGCAAGTATAACTAATACATAATAATGAATTAACATGACAGTGTTTTTAGAGGAACTTAGAAAAACTCGAAGTGCAAGTGATTCTCATTAGCAATCAATATATATATATATATATACACTCATGAACGATATATGTCTCGCATTAAGCCTGGAGAGTTATCGTTATTATATATAAACCTGCATGTTTTTATGATAGAACAATCATGTCACTCAGCCAAACTAATTATCAATATTTCTATATAATAGTACTGTTTATGTTGTGTTTCATTTGAGATAGCATACGGACTATTTCACACTGCTTTTTAATTTAATGCTTATCATGGTAACAATGTGCAATGCCCAGAACTCATCATATCATTTTTAATTTAAACATTATACAATACAGGCTTTTTGTCATACTTCGGTGTCAAAGCTATTGCTGTTTAGAGAATATTCACAATTATGTGTTAAATAATTACATTAATTTTAATTAATTAGCATAGAGTACTGAAAACTTTTTTGATATGTTAGAAATTTTGTATGTTGTCTCTGCAAGTATTCTTAAGTAGTTTATGAAAGACATTGATTATTGTCAGTGACAATTTTTAATATAGGTCTACAAAAATGAAAGTTGGTAAATTTTAGCAAAGCATTTTTGTATTATACAAATACAGCTACTTATAAAATCTAGATTAAATATGGGTGAATCTATATAAAATTTTATTTTATGTGTTTATATTTCAGTATATAAAGTATGTTTCACATATTTGGTATATTAAGTTAAGACAAAATCATTTTATGGGTAGGATACAATTTGCAAAAGTAAAATGAATTTAGAAAATCAAACTTACAAGAAACAATGAATGTACATATATCATTTTTATTCCACTTTACCTTTAAAATTTACATTATAATGTAGTTTTACAAAGAAAATATGTAAAGGGAAATCTTAGGATTCTCATTTTCGTACATGTTTTGTTAATTTCCTAAGTATAATTATTATCACATACTGAAATCACTTAAACTTTTTAGTAAATTAAGTAGAATTATGTGCCTATATGCTTGCATATGTATTATTTACAAGATTAAAATGCAGTAGGATTAAAAAGGTTCTCCTTCATAAAACTTGACCATTACAATAGTCAAGAAACGAATACATACCTATACTCATTGTGCACTAATTAAAATCGTCATTTTCACTAAAATAATAACAAGGCCTCACTTCACTAAACAGACCAGTCGATAATTTGAATATTGCACTACGATTACACACAAGCATCTACTAAATACAATGGAAATATAACCTAAATATGGACTGGGAAAAATCGATAATCTTTGACACAAGCAACAATGAACTCGCGCGTCAATAATTTGAATGAAAACTCACCTATTGAAATTGTTTGTTGTTGGTATAACGATGGCTTCAGATCCTGGAGTCGTCCCTTCGCTTTTTTCAGTCCGAGAAGCGTATTCCGAGGACGAATCACCGGTATGATAACGTTTTTGTATATCACTGTCATGACCAGATATCCTCTTTATACCACATTTTAAACATTTCACACTCTCTGTGGGATTGATTTGTCCGCATGTCTGACAATGCCATTGCAGCACCGATGCGATTGAACCCATTTTAATTCACACATGGCTATGAAACCATAACAATACGCGTTTTAAAGAAACAATTCAGGACTAACGAAAAACGAAAACAGCTGATCCACCATGTTGTTTGTGTATAACTTTTTTTTCTGATGAAGTTTGGATGCCAAAGTATTATTCCTATTTTCAAACCTAAAATATTAATTTTTTTTTTCATCTTTTCACCACATGCAGAAAAAATCTAATAACAAAAATTTTAACTCAACATTAAAACAAAATCAACGGAGTCCTTGTAGACGCCATCTATTTAAAGAGAAACAGTTATTTTGCGGCGTTTTCACAAGTGAAGGTATTTCGCTTGAAGATGGCGCTGCATTAAATATCATACAAAAATATTTACTTCATAAACTCTATAAAACAACTTTTTACCATTCAATAACAGTTATTTAATAACCATCCTATATAAATAGATTTAATCTGCTTCTATTGAGTTCAAATTTAAAAAAAGTGAAACTTATATCTAGGTACATACTTATAAGTGAAACTTATACCTACTTATACTCCGGCCAAATTCGATGTGGAATGTTTAATAACAAAGCGTTGCTTAGCAACCAACGTCAGGCAGATGCTCAAAACATTTTTAAAAATATGTAGAATTATTTTTGATGTTAATAAAAATTTAAATTGATGATTAATAATAAAATATTTAAGACAAAGGACTTAGCGCATTCTTGGTTATAATAATAATACTTATGATCATCAGGAATAATGTATATCTCAAATACAATACCTACAATTTTAAAATGATATCAGAAATTACCTCGTAGTTATATAATTCACTTTTTTAAATTTATCTATCACCTCCCAAACGACAGGACTCATTTAGATTAAATTTTGTGTATAATTGCTTAAAAAATACTCCAAATGTTACAAACCTGCGATTTCCTTACATCAGTATTAAAATATAGGGTTGTTAGTTTTGTAGTAATATTATAGTGGTAATTAAAGATTTTTAAACTTTTATTTTAAGCTATTTTTCATATAAATTATGTATTGACCGGCTAAATAAAATTTTTGGGATTCTATATTAAATTAAAATTTTTGTGTTTAAACAGGAAATTGTATTATAATAAATAAAGTAGTAATTATAATAATTATTATTTTTTATTAAGACTGTATCAACCCTAATTATGATGACTCATAGTTTGTTTACTAAAATTCCAGATCGAATGTGGCTGGAGTACCTATAGATGAATAGATTTTTTTTTTTTTTTTTATGTTATAGGTGGCAAACGAACAGACGGCCCACTTGATGTAAGGTGGTTACCGTCGCCCATAGACATCCGCAACATATTTGTTGCGGATGCGTTGCCAACCTTTTCTTTTTAGGGATAGGGAGGGGTAGGAATAAGGAAATACAAGGAAAGGTTGGGAAAAGGGAAAGGGCAACCGGCTCTCTCACTCATCGGACGAAACGCAGCCATTAAAGACTACTTCACGCCGATCTTCTGTGAGAGGGTGGTACTTCCCCGGTCGAGCCAGCCCATGTTTGAGCTGTAGTAACTTAACCACAGCTAGGCTCTACCACCTTACAATGAATAGATGAATGATAAAGAGAAAAAAAATTGTAACCAACAGTATAAAAAATCTTTAATTACTTTACTAAAAATATCCACTACAATAAAGAAGCGTTAATAAACTAATGATATTTAAGAATTTAAATGTACCTAGCATCAAAATAAGCTTACATATAGGCATAGGCATGGTTCTAACAAAAAGTTTCAGCATATAGATACAACAATAAATCTACAGGTGTTTTGGTGCTCGATTCAAGGATCAAGATAAATTATTGTAGCGCTGAAAACATCGAAACAACTGTGCCGCGTTGAACACGATCAAGATTGATTGATGTACTCTATATTATACTGTTTGTTGATCGCAGATGAAAATATTTATTGTTTTGGATACCGAAGAGCTTAGGGCAAATTGGTTCGAGATTACAAGAGATCAAACTCTCATTTTACTGAATTACCAAAAATAACAGGACAGATTATATCGTTTTTATACTATTCAATCTTGTTAAAAAATCATTTATTGATATACCTAAATATGTATTTTATGTTTTAACAATAAGTAAAAAGGTCGTATATCACACAGATTATAAAACCAGTTTAAGTGATAAATATATTTTTAATTAAAAAAAGCTTAGTTTAATGGAAAAATAAAATGATTTACATAAACAATGTTTTGAGTCGAAAGTTTTAGAAAATGATTTTAGTCTTTAAAGCTTTGTGACTTTAGTTTAGTGAGTGTTTAACCATAAAGTTTCAACTTGTAACAAACTGAACAAGTTTGTTCTTTGAACAGTTAGTTTCTAGACTTAATACTGCCATTTTATACAAAGAGGTCGTGATAACAAACAAAAGTGTAATATAGAAAGAAGAGAACATGAGTAAGAAAAAAAATATTAGTACGTTATTCTTCTATCAGAGATATACATAAAACTCAAGTTAGTATTAAATATAATCTACTACTTAATATCAACCTAATATATATAACAATACAGTTCATTTAAGATCGCGTATAGAAACTCGTATTAAAGAATAATATTAATTTTTCGTCAGAATATTAGTAAACGTTTTTTTGTTAATACATGTATGTATAATGTATAATTTAGATGCGTTTACATCCTTTTTTCAGTCATATCATTTTTTTTTAATACTTATGGTTTATTTATTTTCGTTTCATGAAGAATAAGATAAATACAAATAACTATAGATTAAAGAAAGCGAAAATTTATAAATAATTTGTAAAAATACTAATCTTATTATTTATCTGTGCACATATTTCAGACATAAAGTTTAAATTAATTATAAACTCACTGAATATCAATTAGCGATCTTTTTTTACTACTATAAATAGCAAAGCAATATGTAATATATTTGTGATTCCCATTATTCTGACAGTTTAAAAACAAATGGCGGCCATAATTAAATATCAATTTGTAGTTATGGAGATTTGAACACGAGTAAACTGCCAGTTTCACGTTGATAAGGGGTTTATAGCTAGGATCACAAATATGTTTTGAACTTTGGCTTTGGCTTTTAGAAGTTATTATGATTTATAGAAATTATGGTTAATTTACTAATTTGTTTATAGCAACAAATACAAAAATCGTGTTTGTAAGCAATTCTTGATTCCTAAATAGGTATCTTATTAATGTTAAATTTATATATGTTAAACATACATAAAATTTATAGAAGACTTAAAACGTCTTTAAACTTAACCATCGTGGTTGAAATTTTAAATCGTGAATTATGGTAGTGGAATATGCTGAGTATCTCTTAGTCAATAATTCTCATTTAATATGTTACGATAATTCAACATATTAATAAATCATTAAAAATTATTATTATCAATAGCTTAAGTTTTGGTCAATATCTATGCAATGTTTGTAATTATATTGGTTTTTATGTTCACAGGCATCTACATATATTATCTGTTTGTGTGCGACGTGCGTGCGTGCATGCGTGCTTGAGCGCACGTATGTGTATGAGCAACAGATCTGTAATAACTATACGGCTTTGACTTATTTTATGTAAAAGCCATAAATCTCTTTTAATCATTAAATCATTGCGGTTTGAACTGTTTAGGTTTTAGTGCCATAAGTTTTAAATAACATGTCAAATAATGTTATACGTGGCGCCACCTGTGCCGTACTTATTAAAGTAGATAAACTATAATCCTTAGAAATACTTTAAATTATATTAATTATATTGAATTATTATACTGAACATTTGTCATTTTGTAATGGCAATATTTAACAACTATTCATATGTCAACTCGTATTTGAAAACTATAAATACTGGTTTCAGTCATTTTGTAACTCATTACTGGAACTTGGAAGTAACGCTGAACATTAAAAATCATGACTGAAAATGTACTTCAAAGAATAAGCGTCTTCGTTTGTTTTTATACTAAATATATTTTAATTTTATACAAGTAATGAGTGTAGCTTTTGTTACTTAATTAACTAAAGATATTCTGTTCTAAGTACAAAAGCCTTATTTAACTGTTTCATAAATTTATTATTAATTGACAAACAAATGGGTTCGCCATTTATTTACAGCTATATATCATTTTAAAACTATTATATAAAATAAAGGTATCCCTATAACATTTATATGTACCAATGACTTTTTAATATTCACTTTACATTTTCAAGCAAACATTTCGTTTCAAGCAAAAACAGATGCAGCACGTACTAATTATACTTTATTTTTTAATTCAACAAAAATGGATGCCGAATTTTTATTTTAACCATTAAAAGGTATTGGTGGTAACAAACAGTATAATATATAGTATTTTTCAAATGTTTGTTTTTTTATGCGAAAAATACTTGGTGGGCAGTAGTCACTGTCGCCCATAGATATCCACAACATCGTTTATGTTGCTTTGCGTTGGATGTTGTGGAAAAAGGAAGGCTGGGAATAAGGAAGTGGCAGGAAGGGTGGGAGCAGGGAAAGAGCAACCGGCTCTTTCACTCATCGGACGAAACACAGCCATTAGAGACTACTTCACGCCGATAATCTGTGAGAGGGTGGTACTTCCTTTGTCGAACTAGTCCATGTTCAAGCAGTAGTAACTGATCATAGCTAGGCTCTACCACCTTATAAAACCTGCTCTGATATCAGGGTGTTTTCACTGATTAGAAATTATGAATTAACATGATTGAATTATGAATTAACATCCTTGTTGAAGAATATTACTTTTTTAAAACACATACAAATAATGAATTTAATTTTAATGGCATAATTTTAATACATAGGAGTTACGTTTGCTTTAATTAGAAAATTAGAGACTATGTACATACTGTAAAACTATTATTAATTTACATGAATATCATAACATAATCCTAATGTTATTAATGTATATCCGACCTTATATATGGTGTCCAAGAATTATACGAATACAATTTCTAAGTTTCAATTTAGCTTCTTCAATTTTTTTTATAATTGTTTGTTAAGAGAATA